TTCATTAAATAATACTTTTCTGGGCCAGCCAACCAGCATGGTGGTTAAGGCAGCTGGACTCCACATGATTGACTGTACTGTTTGAGTCCTGGACCCAGCTGTTGAAAAATACGCTGGGTGTCTGTGAGTACATGCCAAAAATCCCCAAAGGAGGAGACATGGAAGAGAAGAGATTGCAGCATGACCATGCCCCATGGGTGGTGCTTTCTCACGTTTTTTCTCTCTCACTCAGTGTTTCTTCTTTGTTGAGTGTGTGTGCCCTCTGGCAAAAATTATTTTTTTTAAAAAAAAAGCACAGCACTTTTCTTTTTGTGAATGGCAAATTAGATTTTTAAAACAGTGTCCTTTATCTATCATATAATGTAATAGTGTTCTTGGGAACAAGAATTTTATTCATTATAATTTTTTGGCACTGTATTGATTTTAAAATTCTAGTCTAAATGAATTTACTAATTTAGGATGATTATTTATGAAGTCTTCTTCAAAAGTTCAAAGAAAGTGCATATTATGAAAAACCATGCCTGGGATTCCAAATTCTTTGCACCAAATTTAAGTTATACTTCAGTTGCATTTTCCATGAACTTTTTGAGTTCCTCTTGGAAGCCTATTTTATACTAACTCAAGTATCACAAGTTGTTTGTTATTACTGCCTTTTCTTTGTTTTACAATTCTATAATTTTAAATATGTATTTTCTGTAACATGTATGTATATATTATAAATCTTACAGTATAGTTAACACTGCTTTTCTGCAATGATTCTAAGTACTTCCTACTCTCTATCACTCACTCCTCCAGAAATTAACACACTTTTCTTTGGAGAGGTTTTGGCTATAGGGCATGTATGTTCGCCAGAAAGAGAGATAGAAAGCAAGAAATCACCCTCAGCCCCGAGGGGTAATGGCCACGCCACAATCTCTTCTCCTCCATTCTCTTCTTGGGATATTGGGCACGCATGCACACACGCCTGGCGTGAGTTTAAGCCACCAGATACGGGACCCGAACCGCGGTGGACTACATGAGAGTCCAGCGACATAGCCATTACACCAACTGCTGATCCCGAAATTAATACACATTTTAAAAGTTTACTAATATATTTCCTCCATAAGAGTAAGAAACAGAGACAGAGAGACAGATAGACAAACACAACCTACAGCATCCTCTTACCACAATCCACCCCTAGCCTCTGCCAGCCCAGATCTTGGGTACAAATGCCCAGGATGTACAGGGAGTCCTCGGGACATGGACTTAGGATCCTCTCATGTCGATCCAGTATCACTGAGTATTGAGTTACCTATGAGCCACAGGCTGGTCCTTAATTCACTTACTACCTAACTATTGGGTCGTCGGAAATGTCATGACACATTTTTGCATAGAAAGCCAGAAAAATATGTCATGACTTTTCCAAAGACCCAATACATTTCTTAGGTTTAATTTAAAGATTTTCAGTTTTCTTTATTTTCTAGCATTGCTTTCAGCATTTTTGTTTTTTCTTTTAGTATCAAATGCTTTTTTATGTTTTGCCTGCATTAAACTAAGTGAATGTCGTAAGCTTATGTGCAAAGCCGTATTTCTAATTAGAAACAGCTGCCTTCCAAGAAGTCTCTTGGCATGTCCAGGTATCTCTGGATAAATGTGTTAGTGACAGGTCTGGCTTTGGACTTTCTACTTTTATTGGAACTATGATGATAGAAATTCAGTATACAATAGTTAATCCAGAAGAAGGGAGGGGGGCTTCATCTTCAATTAAGCAGTATGAGTTGCAGGGTAAGCTAAGAGAATCTGCCTAGGACCAAAAGGCCATAAGAAATCAGTTTTCTTTTTTCCCCCTAGCATTCAATTTTTCTTTGTATTAAGCTGAAATTCAATAATGTAAATGGTTTTTATTTTCTGTAGATACATTTCAGGTCATCAGAAAAATCATGATGTGTTTTTCTGTTTCTATGTAAAAATGCATTATGACTTTTCCAACAACGCAATAGAATAAACCAAACCCCTCTTCCATATGACAACTATTAAGCCTTTTCTCTAGCTTTTACTTTTTCTTTTTTCCTTCCCATGCTCTCATGCCCTTAAACACTCTTCCCTCCCTCTTGCTCAAAAAAATTTTTGAGCAATTTATTTGCTTGAGTTAACTCTTCTAATTCTTACCCCAACCCTACAATGGTAATTTTATTATGTCTATTCGATTAAGGCTCAGAAAGATGAAAATCTCACAAGTAATGAGGAGTTAAGCAGGATTTATCTGAGACAATTTCAGGAGTCCAGGCTTTTAAGCCCTGTGACTTCTCAACCTTCTTTATAATATACATATTCTGAGCTCTTTCTGTTCTTTACTTTTCTCCAAATAGATTTGTGTTTGAACAACTTTTATAAAAGAGTATAGAGTAATGAACTCAATATTTCTGGTGTTATCTAGCCTGCAGTGGGACAACTTGGGCATGGGCTACCTGTTGGCACACCTATGCAATTCGAGAGTGCAGTGCGTATTTCTTTGTTCTTACATCTTGGATTTTTCTGCACAGGTATTAAAATGGGTCTTACCATCCTGTGCATGTGTGTTTATGTATTTATACTTGTATGATACATAGACACATGCATCTTTTCACTTAAAAAGACTTTATCTTGGGACTAACAGTTGACAAAATGACTATGTCACTGGACTCCCATGCAGTCGACCACAGTTCGAGTCCCGGACCCGGTGCCTTAAACTCACACTGGGCTCGTGTGCTTGCATGCCCAAGATCACAAGAGGAGAATGGTGAAGAAGGGATTGTGGCATAGCCATCCCCCCTGGGGGAGTGATTTCTCGCTTTCTGTATCTCTGTCTCTGTCTTTCTGGCAAGTGCATGTGCCCTCTAGGAAAAAAAAAAAAAAAACTCTCCAAATAAAAAAGAGGAGTTTATCTTTTTTTGTTAAACTACATCTTATCATTTTGCATATATTATGATTTGTCAGCTCTTTTATCTCCATGTTCACTGTCCTGTCCTTTTCATGCCACCTACAAATTCACTGAGTAAGCATTAAGGCCTTGATGTTTTAAACACTTCAGTTGAGATTTCTGTTGTTGTTGGCCACTGTGACAAGTCAAAACTTTATTATTCATGAATTTCTTTCTTTAGAGCATTCTTTTATATCATTATTTTTTTGGGAGGGGCGGAGAGATTTTCACTATGGGGCGCGTGCGCTTGCCAGACAGACAGAGAGAGACATAGAGACAGAAAGCGAGAAATCACCCCTCAGGGGGGATGGTCATGCCGTAATCCCTTTTCCTCCATTCTCCTCTTGGGAACGCACGCACACGCGCCTGGCATGAGTTTTAAGCCACCGGGTCCAGGACGCGAACTGCGGTCGACTACATGGGAGTCCAGCGACATACCATTACACTAACTGCTGGTTCTCTGTTATATCATTCTTGAGTTGTATTTACTCTTTTATTTAAGCAATTATTTTATTTAACTTTATTTATTTATTTATTTTAAATTTGATCAGAGAGGGACCAAATGAGAGAGAGAGAACGAGTGAGTGAGTGAGCGAGAAAGCAAGCTGCCAGGTCTGGGACTCAAACCACAGTTGGCCATGTGGGAGTCCAGCATCTTAATCACCATGCCACCTGCTGGCCCCAAGGTGTATTTATTCTTAAATCCCCTCCTATGGGATTGTAAGCATTTTCTTTTTCCTTTTAAGTTTTAAATGTGCTATCATACTGTCTAAGCCTTCCAGATCTCCCATTGACTTGCACTCAGTTTTCTATCCCTCTTTTAGTTACTGCGATGTGCTATGTCCTTATTCTGAGGACAGTTAAGAACTTTGTAATTGAGCCAGATGATTCCACCTTTCTTGTTCTTTCAACCATTTGCCTAGCTGCTAAGCATTTTTTATTTGCACTGTTTTTGCACTAACTTAATCAGACGTAATTACAACCCACTTGAGATGCTTATTTGCTAGTAACTCCGTGTGTTTTTGCATGCCAGTTCATCTCTGCAGGCTTCATCTTCTTCATCTGTGCAAAATGAAATTAAACTCTGACCTGTAAGGTTACTATCATTTCAATATCTTTGATTTTATAATATAGCAAATCATTTTTTAAAAATTTCAGCTGAACTTTAGAAATTAAATAAAAAGCCGTGATTCCATTTTGTTCTTCTGAGCTGTAGCCAGGGATGACATTCATCTGATATTCATTTGTACACTCCTTAGTAATTTGAATATTGGACTTCTGTCCTGTAGGATGATTTTTTTTTCAAAGAGATTTTTACTATAGGGCATATGTGCTCCTGGGAGAAACAGAGAGACCAAAAGCAAGAAATTACCCACCCTGGGGGCATGACCATGCCTCAGTTCCTTCTCCTCCATTCTCCACTCATGATTTTGGGCAAGCAAGCACATGGACCTGGTGTGAGTTTTAAGCCCTGAATCCAGGACTCAAACTGCCATCAGCCACATGGGAGCCCAGTGCTCGAACCACTGTGCAACCTGCTGACTCCCAGCTGCTCCATTTTTGAGGGACCCTCGGAGGAACACCTGCTTACTGGCCCACAGAGAGACCACCAAAGCTCTTGTAGATAGACTCCTTCACCCAGACATAGCACTGCTATGACTACATGAGCACCCTAAAAGACAAATTCCTACTGTTTTTCTCCACCATTCACAAACCAGCAAAAAACTCACCAGCCACCCTCCTGTGGTTGTTTTAGATGAATGACATATATGAATTATATCACAAATGACTCTTTTTAGTACTACTGTAGTTTAATGAAGCTCTTCCTGAGCACCTCATCTATGTTCTTATTACTATGGAGTTTATAAAATCTGTAATTCCCACAAACCAGGATTGTTCCAAAGCTAAAGTGAATTATTTTACTTCAGTATTCTGTTGAAACTAAAATATTTTTAAGAAGTAATTCGACTGCACTACTTAATCAATGATCCCTTTAATGTCACATATCTTGTGAAATTATTGGCATTGCCTTTTTCTTAGCAATTTTCTATTTTGTTCTTAGGTGAATGAAATTTACCATGACGAGTCCCTTGGAGTACATATAAATGTGGTCCTGGTGCGCATGATAATGCTGGGTTATGCAAAGGTAAAATGCCTTAAAATACATGAACGATGACATTGGGGACTAGGTTAGTAATCAAAAGACTAAAACCACCAAAGTTCCAACTAATGTGTGTCTGACATAGAAGCTCGCCTCACCTCCATTGCTCTGAACTAAGAAAGGGTAACTGCCATAATGAGTGGTGATCTCCAAATTTAAGCAGATGGTCAATTATTTATTTTTTTTGCCAACCATCTATTTGCTTATTTACTCCTATCTAGTAGAGGTGGAGATTTATCTGGATTTCAGGAAACTCATGATGCATTTTTGTATAGAAAACACAGAAAAACACGTCATGACATTTCCAACAATCCAATAGTTACCCTGACTTTAGACACGCATATATGAATGAAAATGAATGGGAACCATTATAAGGAAGAAAAAAATGTTTAACCAATCATTATCCCCCAGTGAGTGATTCATTTGTTCATTCAAAATGTCTATATCGAATGCCTACTATGTGGCAAACACTTCCTCAGTGGATGGAACTCAGAAAGTTCCAAGTGAGGATAAAAGACAAAGAACTTTGTCTTCTCTTGATTTGTTAAAAACCATTTTACTTGTCCATTTCTCTACTTAAAAAATAAAGCTCACGGTGAATAGGTTCATTTAAAAGAACTTTAATCCTTTTAAAAACAAAAAGTGGCATCAAAATGCACACATAGGCCTTTCTTGTACTGTTGTTGAATTTAACTGGCTTTACCATGGTGCTGGATGTCTCCCAGTCCTTGGAAATAATGAAATGGGTAAGAAGACTTCTCCGTCTGAGGGAGAAAGATAGGGAAAGGGACCAACTTTGGCAATTTCCATGACGTTTAAAATTACATGATCCTCTTCCATAATTAATCCTCCTGATTATGAAATACTAATGAATTTGTACATCTAGGAGGAAAAATCCATGTGTTTGCATTTTGTTATAAGTTTCACATCCACTTATCATTTTCTAATGATAGGATGTAACGGTTCTTTAGTCACACGAACCTGACCTATTTGTGTTGCTCACGAGGAACGCCAGTGAGCCTTAACTGGAAACATTAACAGCCTTCAGTGAGTTGTTAAATTTTATCTGGAGAAATATGTGATCAGCATATAACAAATCAAGTTAATTTTATTAAGAATGTAAACATTGATGATAACGTTTGCTGAAATATAACAAAACTCTCAGCCTGTCAGCCAAATAGATTTAATTTGGGGTTCCAAGTTCAATTTCTCATCCCATCAGAACTGCTCAGGGAAGTGTGGCTCCTGGTTTTGTTTTTTTTTTTTTTTTTTTGGAGAGGTTTTTTGCTATAGGGCGTGTGCGCTCGCCAGACAGACAGAGAGAGACATAGAGAC